AAGAAGAAGAAGAAGAAGAAGAAGAAGAAGAAGAAGAAGAAGAAGAATCTGGCCAACTGGCTCTTAAGGGAAATGAGCAGGGGATAAGAGAAGTATTCAGAGTGAGCTAGAGTTACATCTGTTGTGGGCATGCAGGGATTCGTGACTTATGACGTGTTTGACCCTTCCCTCAGCCTGGTTATCTCCTATAGCAGCCCAGATATGACGTAAACCCAAACGCTGGGTTAAAGGCCGCACTGTGGTTGCATGGAGAAGCCACCACTGGACAGCTGCCTTGGCACCTGGGTAATCCTGGCTGCCACCTATCCAACCCCGGTGCCCGGCATCGGACCCCTCCCCCCCCCCTCGGGTAGATTCTTCTCAGCCAAGGGTGTCTTGAAAAAAAAAGGCAGTTTTCAGTGAAGGCTCCCAATGAAGACTGAACAGAGACAAACGAGGAATCAGAGCGAGAAGGAAGGTGCGCCTGGGGCAAAAACCTCTTCCTTGCATGCAATAGATCCCATTTCCTTTGACAAGCAAACATTTTTTTTTGAAGCCCTCCGGGAAGCTGCCGAAATATTTACCTCCTTGTCGGTGAGCAAGCAAGGAGCTTGGAAGGGTCTGCAAAGGGAAGGGGCATAGGAAGGGGAGAGTAACATCATAATGGGCGATGAGGTCATCGCGACACCCATGAGGTCATTGTGGATTCTCTTTTTATTCCTCCCCCCCCCCCCGAATGTTGGGTGGTCAAGGGAGGGTGGAAAACAGAGAGTAATTACTCATCTGCGCTCTTGGATTTTAACCCATTTAAGTTCATTTCCTTGTTGTCCATTTTAATCAAGGGTCTTCAAACTCAGCAAGTTTAAGACACGTGGACTTCAACCCCTGGAGTTCCTGAGCTAACAGGACTGGAGGAGGAATTCTGGGAGCTGGAAGTCCGCAAGTCTTAAAGCTGCCAAGTTTGAAGACCCCTGATTTTAATAATGCTTTTCATGGTTTTAGATATTTATGCTTTTTAAACTCCTGTAAACTGCTTGGAGTCACTTTGGAGAGTGAGACAGATGACATACATATTTATTCAATAAACAAACAAATGCTGGCATTGTTCCAGAGAGAATTGTGTGTGTGTGTGTGTGTGTACATGTGCTTGTGTGTTTGAGCAAGGGAGGTGGGAGATGGACCCCTTGGTTGTGCAAGAAGCGATACCACAGATTTCCCAAAACAACTGGAAGAAAAAGAAACTACTGGCAGCACAATTCTATGAATATTCTCCTCTTCTTCTCACATAGAGTACGCTTGATTTGGCCAGGAGATTTTATCAGCCACCCTCAAGGAAGTCGGTGAAATAGGTGGTGGTGGATGTGTTTGCAGGACACATGAAACCCAAGTGATATTCGACTGTCTGGGGATCATGTGAAACCAGCATGTTTGGTGAGCTTAAAGAATAGCTGAAGTTCGTAGCTAGGTTAAGAATGAAGTGTGAACGTGAATATGAATGAACTTTCCCCAACTAAAATACCCCCATAATGCTGGGAATTATGGAAACTGGAACCCAGCACATGTGGAGAGTGCACAGTTGATAGGTAATGTGGGAGGGGGGGAAGGAGAGAGAGATTGTGATTTTAATAATGCAAGGAACATTGAAAAGTTAATTACTAGCCGAGGCCCGATCTTGCTTGCTTTTTTTCTACCTCCTTAGGCCTCTCCTATTTTAACGGCAATGAGAGAGAGAGAGAGAGAGAAATAAGAAAGAGAGAGAGAAACAAGAAAGAAAAATAAAAAAAGAAAGAGGGAGGGAGGGAAGAGAGGCAGGAGAGAGAGGGAGAAAGAAAAAGAAAAAGAAAGAAAGGAAAGAGAGAGAGAAAGAGAAAGAGAAAGAAAGAAGAGAGAAAGAGAAACAAGAAAGAAAAATAAAAAAGAAAGAAGCAGGGAGGGAAGGAAGGAGGGAGGCAGGAGAGAGAGGGAGAAAGAAAAAGAGAAAGAAAGGAAAGAGAGAGAAAGAAAGAGAAAGAAAGAAGAGAGAGAAAGAGAAACAAGAAAGAAAAATAAAAAAAGAAAGAAG